AATGGTTAGACACATTATTCTTTTAAAGAAATGGATGTTCTCGTTCTGGGTTCTTAGCGCTGGTCTTTTTCTTTCTTTCTTTCTTTCTTTCTTTCTTTCTTTCTTTCTTTCTTTCTTTCTTTCTTTCTTTCTTTCTTTCTTTCTTTCTTTCTTTCTTTCTTTCTTTCTTTCTTTCTTTCTTTCTTTCTTTCTTTCTTTCTTTCTTTCTTTCTTTCTTTCTTTCTTTCTTTCTTTCTTTCTTTCTTTCTTTCTTTCTTTCTTTCTTTCTTTCTTTCTTTCTTTCTTTCTTTCTTTCTTTCTTTCTTTCTTTCTTTCTTTCTTTCTTTCTTTCTTTCTTTCTTTCTTTCTTTCTTTTTTACTCCGTACTCGGCATGCTAGATATTATGAAGACCATATATGAACTAATGTTGACAGAAAGCAGGAGAATAGATGAAATAGCATATGTAAGAATGTGTGAACGAGGATTTAGGAGTGGATCCGGCAAGGAAGGACGTATGGAAGGAAGAGATCTACATGTGTATAATCAGTGGGCTACAGAAACAGTTATCCTCTACACCTTAAGAGTATTGCTGCGGAAGACGGAGCATCTATGGGTATGCCCTTTGTGCTATGATATCCATTCTTTAAAGAGTAAATGCCTGGAGCAGTACCTCAGTTGAATAAACCAGATGCGGCGTCAAACAAGTGACTAGCTCGATTTGATCCGGGTTCAAAAAGTGACTAACTCGATTTGATCCGGGTTCAAAAAGTGACTAACTCGATTTGATCCGGGTTCAAAAAGTGACGAACTCAGTTTGATCTGGGTTCACGCCTGGGGGTGGGCAGAAAAGCCGCAAATGTTCCCAGATTGACGGTATCTATAATGGAATCAAGGCCGAAGGGCTGCGATATCCATAGTACCGAGCTAAATGGTTTACAGCTCATGGTTTCTGGAGAAAAAAAATTAGGTTATGTCTTCCTTTCTTTTTTTCTGTTTTCCTCCTCTTTGCAGTACTGCTGACGTCATCATGAGTGCAGCTGCGTCAAACTGATTCCCCCAAACCCAAGACATTTCATGTTGCAATGAAAATAATTTCTTTAGTTTCTTAACTTTTAGAATTTATAAGGAAATCTTTGAAGTAAATAAATGTGGGTAAAGGAGGGAAAATCCTTATAAACAAGTGGTTCATCGAGTCTGCCTTAGGGATATCAGGCGCCAGACAGTGAAAGCCAGTATTGTTGCGGGTTGTTTAGTTCTTCCTTGTGAGGTTAAAGAGCGTAAACAAACACTTTGCCATCGACTTGTAGGATACGCAAGTCAACCTCGCTTTCAAGATCTACACATCGGAAACATGAGGCCACGAGATCTCAGACTAAACGGGTTCTGGCTAGTAGGGTGGGAACGGATTTGATTGAAATATCATGAAACTGCGACAGACCCAGCAAGCCGTCAGTGGATAAACGCTTTCTCAAAGAAAACAAATTAGAAGGAAAAATAAAAAAGCAAATAATTAAAGGTTTGATAAAGTCGACAGTTTGAGGCCGAAAAGACGTACACATCGCTGCAGAGCTGTAAACAAAACAACCATTGCCTTGACATTGGCATTGGATCTAAACCGCATCATGCCACGCACTTTTTTTTTTCTTCCGTTCTACTTTTTCTCCCAGCCCATGCCGTGTGACGTTGGTAGTCATATCTATCCACAACTTTCTGTCTCGTGTACTCTCAGTCAGCTCTGACACAGATGATCTTCCATATATCTTTTCTCTCGGTCTCCCTCTGCCTCCCCTCCCCTCCCCTCCGACTTTCCTTCTGTCACGATGTACTCCAGTTTTCTTCTTCTCGTCACATGAGTCAGTTCCTACATAAAGATCCATTTGCATGCTTAGGCGCATCGGGCATATAGGAAGAGCATCCGATATTTTTATAGACCAATCGGCACTAGTTGGGAAATGTTGTCATCATTACATCAGCCGTCTTCACTTCCCTAGGACATCCATCCTGGTACTCATTTTAGGCTGGGTCGATCTGCAGCGCTTCATACCAAGATAAAAATCCACACAGCCAGCAGTAGGTTTCAATCGCGGTATGCTGGAATTACAAGTCGGCATCGCAATGTCTAGAGCCACGGACGCAGCTAGTTCCTACAAGATATCCTCATTATTCTTTTGATCTGTCCAGGGAATTCTGAAAAGTATTCTGCAAAACAACATCTTGGCAGCTTTCTGGCACTTGTAAATTGAAAAGGTAGAGTAAATAAAGGAACTGAACTGAACTGAATTTCTACCCCACCAGGACATCACACAAGCGATAAACACCCGATGACACAAAGTGCCACCATGTGGATGAGGATCGCTGTGGAGAGGTCCCAGAAACCGCGTTCAGACATTTGGCCATATATGGCCTGCCTATATTGCGGCCCCTGGCAAAAGCCAGAGTAGGGCTTCAAATGACAAAAAATTTCGTCCTAAGAAAGACGAAGTTAGGAGCCTTATATACGCTTTTATGCGTATTGGGCATATAGGCATAGACGTATATTTTATAGACTTATCGGCACGTAGTAGGTGATGAGAATGAACAACATCACACCAACCCAATGTACTTACCAGGACTGTGCCTGCTAGCTCATTTAAGGCTGGTTCGACCTGCGGGGGGGGGGGGGGGGGCAATGTCATTTTTAAAGACAAAAATAAAGTACGGCTTGGTAAGTACGCAAACTCAGGACCTTTTGATCCGCAAGCGAGCGTCTAGTCGCTACACAACGGCGGTTAGTTTTAATGGATGTCGCAAAGAAACCTATTTGTGGTTTTACAATGTAATTTAACGTTGAGTAGTTTGCCATTTCTTTCAGAACCGTGCAAAATTCAAAGCTGTGTCGAAATCTTCTCTTCTACAGTGTTTACTGGCTGTAAACATGGGCAGAAAGTTCTGGTTATGGTTCACTTACGTAATCCCGGCTATGTTCCAGAACTTGAGTTTTACGGGCATATTCTCTACTTGTGGTTTTACAATGCAATTCAACGTTTAGTAGTTTGCCATTACTTTTGGAACTTAACAATGAGGATAGCGGTGTCGAAATCTTCTTCATCTCAGTCTTCACTGGCAGTAAACTCAAGCAGAAAGTTCTGGTAAACTTCGGAACTTTGGTTATCTTCCAGAATTAGTGGTTTTGAGTGCACATTTGTTTTAGACGGCTGGCTTATGTGACAGCAGACTGCTGGCTCCTCGACAGTCAGACAGATGCACTTTGAATTCAAAGTAAACACCACTAATTACTCACTTTTTACCACGCACACTTTGCGGGTAGCAGCTCAAGCTCATCCCCCCCCCCCCCTTTCCCCTCCCTCCAAATACATCAGAACCAACACGGGAAGAAATCAAAATAGCGCGATTTGCTAGTAAAGTAAAGTGAAGTAAAGTAAAGTAAAGTAAAGTAAAGTAAAGTAAAGTAAAATAAAGTAAAGTAAAGTAAAGTAAAGTAAAGTAAAGTAAAGTAAAGTAAAGTAAAGTAAAGTAAAGTAAAGTAAAGTAAAGTAAAGTAAAGTGAAGTGAAGTAAAGTAAAGTAAAGTAAAGTAAAGTAAAGTAAAGTAAAGTAAAGTAAAGTAAAGTAAAGTAAAGTGAAGTGAAGTGAAGTAAAGTAAAGTAAAGTAAAGTAAAGTAAAGTAAAGTAAAGTAAAGTAAAGTAAAGTAAAGTAAAGTGAAGTGCCCCTTTTCCCCATCTTCAGGCGTATTGGGCATATTGGGCTAGACCGATATTTTATGGAATAATCGGCATTTATTAGGTAATGTGGTCAATGTCATGCCAGCCGCCTTTACTTTCCAGGACTGCACCTGGTACCCACTGAAGGCTGAGCCGTCCTGGGAGCCAAGGTCATTTTTTAAAGAAAACCCGTCAGGACCCGAACCCACGATCTTCTGATCCGCAGGCGAGCGCCTAGCCGCTACACCACAGCGATTTCCATTTGCATAATAACGTTTTTGCGCCATTGAATATAGGCCGTTTCACTGACTACATTAACAGAACAGGTTCAACTGGGTACATTGACAACCAGGTCACCCATTAGCTCTCCGGTAGACGACTTCGTCACCTGTCTGGGCAATATTTGGGTCTGTCTCCTTTGATCGCATCAACATTGCAAGAGTCCTTTCTGGCGCTCTTGGTGGCGAGCAATGTTAGCCACAATTATAACTAAAAGCTCCCCTTTCGATGTTGCTGGTTGTACTTGGCGATTCTACCCCCACCCCAAGCAAATCACCTTCCTGCGTAGAAAGACATAGCTATACAAATTAGAGAGATAAATCAATCTTCCAGATTTTAATTATGTTTGTTACACTATAAAAAGTAAGACCTCACAAGAAGAGGCAGATCATATCACATCTGCAAAGGATTTCGTTTATTGTTTAAAAATTATTTTTTATCCGATAAATAAATGTTATTGCTTTTACACCGAATGTAAAGTGCATGTGTTGATTCTTCATTACACACCTGCAAAAGAAAATAACAAATGTAGAAGAAGATATGATTTGGAAGAAGGGAGATAGGAAATGATCAGCAACGAGTTGCTTTGCATAGGTTTGTTGAAGCCAGTTAACAATAAGCGTCTTTATTCAGGGAAAAAAAAATAATAAGGAATTTCAATGGAGCTGAAATGATAAAATATGATGTTGGATCTCTGCAGGCCATTTCCCTTCCCCCAGACCAGACTACACATGATCAATTTTACAGCAGAAAATATGGGAGGAAAGCGACAGGAATACCAAGAAAGAGATGGATAAATAGTGTAGCGGGAAACCTGCAAAAAGATTAATAGAGCCATCGCTCAAGCCACCCGAGAAGATGAAGACAAATACAGAAAAACACAAGACACTGAGCCATAGCTTGGTATCAATAAGACGGCAAAAGAAGTAGATGAAAAAAGGGAGTTTCTAGGATTTGTACCCTTTTGACTCTCATTCTTCAGATGTTAATCGTACAGACATCAAACCTAAAGGGGGAACTAAATAAACGAGTATACTCACAGTTAAAAGCAAACTCCGCCGGGTCACTCTCGTCGACAGCAATCAGAACAATAGCTCGAAACTGCGACATGTCCTTTCTGGCATCCACCGCCATGCTGATTGATCCAACCCAGGCGAGATTTCCTGACTCCTGACCAATATTTCCTTGGCAACAGATAGCAACCTGCCTGTCTATGTACAGAAGCGACTTCCGTTTCGGGGAACGGATGGCAGCACCGGAAGTAATAATCCGTCTATGCTTCTTCTTTGACAGTCAGTAGAAGCGGTATAGAAGAGTACAGGCCCAGGGTTTCACAGCACTGTGTAGGTTTCTGACAAGTGCAGAGAGTTGCTGAAGGAAATACACAATGTAAAAGGTTAAATATTTCGGCCACATTAAAAGACATTAAAATAATAATTAAATTACTTGTGTAACATAACTTTCATGACTTTACATGACTTTGCAGAACAAAAACCAGCATTCTTTGGCTGTTGTTATGTTTGGAGGCACTTTTTACGTTCAGTAGTTTGCCATTACTTTCTGAATAAATGTAAGTGCTGTCTCCAAACTGGAAGATCACTGCAGTATGTCCACTTCTACCTCAAGGCAGTGGCATAGCATGGTCAGAGGTACCCGGTGCGGAAACATTCCTGTCGCCCCCAGTGGCATTGCAAAGTCAGTTGGACCTCGTGCCGAACATTTCATGTCACACCTACACACACACCTACACTCACACCTACACACACACCTACACACACACCTACACTCACACCTACACACATACCTACACACATACCTACACACACAAATTCAGACACACAAGCAAACATTGTTTATGTTAAAAACGCATCTACAACACATCTTTTGCAACGCCTCTAGGGAGCTGCGTGGTCTCGAGGCATGGTATCTGCCCCGAGTGCTAGAGGTTCCGGGTTCCATCCCTAGTAAGGGCTGGGATGTTTTCACGTGGACTTGGACTTCTTGTAATTCCCTCGGGTAGTGGGATCGTATGCCCGTCTGCATTGTTGTGCACGTAAAAAAATACTTTGGCAGTTGGAAATTGAAAAGAGTAGCATAACGGCGCTGTCCTGGCAAAATTTGGAGTTAAAAATCTACCCAAAGTATCCTCGCCGCCTCTACAGAGCCTGTGCACTGGGCTGAGATTCTTAAGACTCAGGCTTGAGTTAGAAAAAGAACGGAGCACTTATGGGTTACTAACCATGTGCCATGATGTTTATCCGGTGTTCAAAACCTCGAACCTGGTACGCCTCTAACTTAAAGTTTATTGCACGTAGAGGCTCTCGTTTTCATCAGCGACTGGGTCACCCATTGGCTGGCCGATAGATGATTTCGTCATTGGTTCGGACAGTATTCGGGTCCGTCTATCTTGAGAGCGTCAACAGTGCAAGTGTCATTTTTAGGGTTACTTGATTCCTCGCAATGCTGAGCTATTTTCTTTATGACGATCATAAACCTAGTCACAATTATAACCAAAAGCTCTCCCCTTTAGGATGCTGGTTAAATCTGGCGATTTTCTTTCCTTAAAACCAGCTAACCGGTCTCTTTCATTGTGCGACTCTTGCATCGCTGTCAGAACGCTGCGAGAACAGTATTTTTTTTCTTTCTAAATCACCAACCCTGTGAATTGAACCATGACATTTCGCGTGCTGGTTCTAGCACAATGAAAGTGGGAGCAGCCCGAGGGAGGGTGGGGGTGGGGTAAGAATATATCCCTAACAAGGATGTCATCAAAGTTGACTAATATGGGGTAATTCCTTAGAAGTTAGAGTGTATTTGCTTGAAGGACAAGGAACCAACAGTTTGCTTACAAAAAAAGCCAGATCTGTAAAACGGATGAGCAGGCAAAACATAGTTCTTATGAAAAACCAAATTCCAAAAGTTGACGAACAACTAGCACTTTCCGATAGAGTTTATATCCGGTAAACAGGAAGAAGCAGCAGTTTTCAAATTAAGTTCCCCCTTTTGTGGAGATATATTTAGTAAATTATTGTTATTTTTTTATTTTTATTTTTTATTTTATTAATGTTCTGTGTTATCGAAACAATATATATTGTTTAAAAAAAAAGAAAAAAAAAGAAGCACATAGCTACTGAAAGGGACAAACATACTCACAATTTTGACATTATGCATCTTTGTAATTAAGTAAGCAAAATTACTCAAATTTCGCACAAGAATACTTTAGAGTTCAGCCAATAAATTCCCACCTTTTTGGCATCTAGGTCACGATAGTTTTTAAGCGCAGGCCTTTCCCCGTTAGTTTGTTGTGTGGCCTTTCCCCGTTAGTTTGTTGTGTGGCCTTTCCCCGTTAGTTTGTTGTGTGGCCTTTCCCCGTTGTTAGTTTGTTGTGTGGCCTTTCCCCGTTAGTTTGTTGTGTGGCCTTTCCCCGTTAGTTTGTTGTGTGGCCTTTCCCCGTTAGTTTGTTGTGTGGCCTTTCCCCGTTAGTTTGTTGTGTGGCCTTTCCCCGTTAGTTTGTTGTGTGGCCTTTCCCCGTTAGTTTGTTGTGTGGCCTTCCTTTCCCCGTTAGTTTGTTGTGTGGCCTTTCCCCGTTAGTTTGTTGTGTGGCCTTTCCCCGTTAGTTTGTTGTGTGGCCTTTCCCGTTAGTTTTGTTGTGTGGCCTTTCCCCGTTGTTAGTTTTGTTGTGTGGCCTTTCCCCGTTAGTTTGTTGTGTGGCCTTTCCCCGTTAGTTTGTTGTGTGGCCTTTCCCCGTTAGTTTGTTGTGTGGCCTTTCCCCGTTAGTTTGTTGTGTGGCTTTTCCCCGTTAGTTTGTTGTGTGGCCTTTCCCCGTTAGTTTGTTGTGTGGCCTTTCCCCGTTAGTTTGTTGTGTGGCCTTCCTTTCCCCGTTAGTTTGTTGTGTGGCCTTTCCCCGTTAGTTTGTTGTGTGGCCTCCTCTAGCGTGGATTAGTGACTGACATCTCCTAGACATGGATGCGATCAGAAGTCTGATGTGGGCCTGTGGGATGGCTGCCCACTCTTCCTGGAGTGCCTGGAACAGATCACGAACATTGGCTGAAGCAACGTTTCGGCGACAAACATGTCTTTGCAGCTCATCCCCTAGGTGCTTAATCGGACTCATGTCTGCAGACAGGGGTGGTCAGGGAAAGGTTTGAATGTTATTTGCAGTCAGAAACTGCGTGGTCAACTGCAGAATGGGGTCTGGCGTTGTCCTGTTGAAAAGGATATTTGTTGGCATCCAAAAATGGGACATGTGGTCGAAGAATTTCATGGACATATCGTTGCGCATTCAAGCTTCCTTCAATGTGCACCAATTGACTCCTTCGGGTGGTAACTAATCCTTCCCCATACCATTACACCCTCACCACCGTGCAGCAGAGCTTCATCAACACAATTTTGCGCTAAACCTTCATTTTGTCTATGGTTGATCCTACGCCGTCTATCATGAGACTGCAACAAAAATAAAGATTCCTAACTGAACAAGACACGTCTCCACTGATTTTCACTTGCTAAAGGACGATGTTGGTTGGCCCAAAGAAGTCGATTTTGGCGGTAGCGACGCGTAAGGACAGGTTCTCGGTGTAGTCGTCGAGTCCAAAGTCCAACATCATACAGTCTGTCTAAACAGTTTGATCAGACACATGACGTCCTGGAGGCAATGCCTGCACAGTTGAGGAAACTGTTGTAAACCTGTCTCTGTGGTGACGGAGCCGAATAAAGCAATTCTCCGCTACTGTTGTCACTATGGGTCGTCCACTGCGATGTCGTTCTTTAACTTGACCAGTGGCTTGGATCCGGTGCTAAAGTGGACTGATGGTACTCTGATGCACGTTAAGAAGCCTGGCAACCTGACTGTGACTTTCTCCTGACTGCAATCGGCCAATAGCATTATTTCTTAAAATTATCAAGAGGCACCTTTCGTGACTGCTTGAAAATGAACTGATCGTTTTGGTGTAGCGTTAGCCTTTTATAGAGTTTTAATTGCGTAGGCAGTGTATAGTGTTCATTGCAAATTGTGTTGCTTTATCGTGCGCGCATCGTGAGCTATGCTCACAAATATGGTCTTAAACACAATAGACCACTGCGTTCTAACGATTACAAAAACCCACGCAATTCACGCTCAAATGTCCACTGGACACGGTAAACAACATCTGAGTCTGCTTTCACATACCTGAGTACGATATTTTATTTACAAACTAAAAAAAAAAACGCGCCATCGGATAACTATGCGTTTCTTTTTTTTTTTTTTTTGACCAGTATAGTTTACAATGTTAACGTCAAAGTTTGAAATACCATCTACAAAAACGCTAATGTTTAAAAAACATATTCCACATAAGCATAATGTCTTATGCACTCAAACTTCTGGGCTTTGGTAACTGTAGTCTTCAAAATTACTGTCTGTTTTCTCTCACCTTTGTCTTTAAAGCTAGCTACGTATGCAACATTATCACAAAGTGAACTGGCGGTCTCGTAGTCTGGAACTTGGGAAAAAAAAAAAAATCCTTGAAGTCGGATTTTACGAATGTCTTAGTTTAGTGTGACCCAACTACACACAATTAGTTTCAGACAAAAAAGAGCACAAGAAAGACTAAGATGCAAATAGATCGACACATTCACACACACTAAGACTACCAGACTACCAGACTACCACACACACACACACACACACACACACACACACACACACACACACAGGCATTACAAGCAAATCCGACTCAAATTAGTCGCACAATGAGTTATTACCTACAGCTTCGTGGCAACGTCTAAACTCTGATATCTTCTGTTCCCTCTCTCATGTTTGCCTGTCGGCCTGCCTGTCTGTCAGTTAGTCTGTCAGTTTGTACGTCTAACGTCTGCATATAGGTACGCATGAAAAAATTTATTCGTGTCTGTTTGTCGGTCAGTCCTTTTTTTTTAAATGTCTAAATGATTGTGTGTAAGTACACACACATGTGCATATTCTTCTCTGTCTGTCTGTATGGCCTGCCTATTTGTCTCTCTGCCTGACTGTCTCTCCGTCTTTCTGTCTGCCTGCCTACTAGTCAGTGTGCTACGGAAACAGTTAGCCTCTAAACTTTAAGACGTTTGCTGCAGGAGACCGAGCAACTTTGGATGTGCCTGGTGTGCTATGATGTCGATTC